GGTTCAATGTTGGCAGCGCTCGCGCAAATTGCGCTTTTCGCTGCAATTTATCAGGATTATCTTGAAACGTTTTTTTCCCATAATTTATTAATACGAGTTGCAGTCGCTAATCGGTTTAAAAATCCAGCTGGTTTGGTGTAGAAAAATTTAAACCTTGGTATTAATTTCCATGTAAATTGGTATGATCCAGTCCTGCTGAGGTTCATATCGTTAAGTCAAGGTTCATTGCCACGTTTGTTTGTGTATCATTATCTTATTTTGCATTTATAGTTACTTTTGTTACGAAAATAGCGTTACCAACTTGACATTGGATTAAGTTGCAAAATATGCAATTAACGTATTTCTGTAAACGTTTCATACGGTGTTTGATTTCTAGTGGTAAAAGTAGACGTTTTGAATGTGAGTCAAAACTGTGAATCATCAAAGGGTGAATCCACTCGCGTGTGCAGAAAGTCTTACTCATCTAAATGCTTTTCTCTGCTCAAAAACTAAAATAACGAGGATGTGATTAATACGAGTCCGATAATTACTTCCTCTACTTTCAGTTCTATGATTAAAGGAAATGCGAGTTAATGATACATTAATTAACTTACAAATGTAACGATCTTTCCCATTAAAAGTTGAAAAAGTCAAAAAAAAGGGTTCAAATATTCTAGATCTGTTCAGCAGCAAATACGTTATTGATTGAATTTTAACGTTAAAAAAATTAGGTTGGCAACACCAACCGAGTGTCACTATTTTTAACCAAAAAACGTCTTTAAATTTTATCGTACTGACTGCTGAAAAATTGGTCGAAAAGCTGGTTCGACAGAGCATTTTTGAGTTGAATTTTTACTTTACAGAATTTTGTGATGACGTCATCTACATTTTTACAAGGACACGTACATCAACTTGAATTGGTGCAGTGTAATACTAAAAATAACAGTGTTGTATTCTCAAATTTTCTGAGAAAGTGGAGTGAACCGGTCCTGATTTAATCAATAAAATAAATTAACACATTCATTAATTTTTTTGAGCCACCTGTATAAGCAAATTTAAACAATATGTTACTATAGAAATTTGCAATTTGACACCTTTAAGTTTTTACAAGATTAATAGGGACAAAACCAGTTTTATATTAAAAATTACTAGGCCCGCCCACCCGCCCCCTATTTTCCCACAGGATATGTCATTTTCCAAAATTAGTCTTATCTTACCAAGTACTAGCCCCGCCCACCCGCCCGCTTTTTTCTCAGAAAATATGTCATTTGCCAAAATCAGTGTTATCTTACCAAGTATTAGCCCCGCCCACCCGCCCGCTATTTACTCACATGTCATTTGCCAAAATCAGTCTTATCTTAGCAAGTACTAGCCCCGCCCACCCACCCGCCATTTTTTCACAGAAGATAAGTCATTTGCCAAAATCAGGGTTATCTTATCAAGTACTAGCCCCGCCCACCCGCCCGCTATTTTCTCAGATATGTCATTTGCCAAAATCAGTCTTATCTTACCAAGTACTAGCCCCTCCCACCCACCCCATATATGCTCAGACGATATTTCATTTGCCAAAATAAGACTTATGTTAGCAAGTACTAGCCCTGCCCGCCCGCCCTTTATTTTCTCAGAGAGTAGTACTTGCTAAGATAAGTCTTATTTTGGCAAATGACATATCTTCTGAGAAAATAGCGGGTGGGTGGGCGGGCCTAGTACTTGCTAAGATAAGTCTTATTTTGGCAAATGACATATTTTCTGAGAAAATAGCGGGCGGGTGGGCGGGCCTAGTACTTGGTAAGATAAGACTAATTTTGGCAAATGCCATACCCTCTGAGAAAATAGAGCGCGGGCGGGCGGAGCTAGTACTTGCAAAGGTAAAACTTATTTTGCTCCTATTAAACTTGTAAAAACTTGTTAAATTTGACAGGTGTTAAATTGCAGATTTCCATAGTAACAAGTTAAATTCCTAAATCTGATTGAGACACCCTGTATAAGCAAATTCCAAAATATTAATTATATATTAAAAATAAATCACAAGTATAGACTCATCTATTTTGCACATTTAAGATAGGGTATTCAGCAATATTTTGAGGTGACGTCATCAATTTTTTGGAGGGGATAAGCAAATATATTTTGATTAAAAATTTATTATGCTTGCCATAAATTTAAAACATCTGCAAGATTTCAAAGCATTCAGTTTGGCAGAATCAAAATTAAATTGCAAAATGTTGTTTTACAAAAATCTGGAATTTTTGGGTAAAATCTCAACACGGAATCATAAGCTACATGTATAGGACTATGTTATTTTATACAATTTAAAACCCATTGTCTATGTACAATTTTTAAAAATGATGTCATCACATTATTGGTGATGATTAGACAAATTTTGGTTATCGTTTTACTATTTTATTCAAAAAATATTAGGTACTGTTAATCTATCATTTATGACAAGTCATATGTGATTAAAAGCTTTACTGTCATTTTGACAAATACTAGCAGTTTTCAAAAATCTACTTTGTCATTTTGATATTATTAATATCGGACAGATACAGTCGCGGCCAGAAAATTTTGGACGTCAATGTCATTCCTCTGTCACAAAATGTGAAAAACCTTAAAGTATTGTAACCTTATTTTTTTAGTTTTGTCATTTTTGACGCTAATACTGGATGCGGACGTGACAAATGTGACAAATCTTTTAAACTTCAAAGTGACAATATAGCATGAACTACATTAAAATTTTCAAAATGACAGGAAAAAGACGTCCAAGATTTTCTGGCCGCGACTGTATGACACTATTGTCAGTAAATTAAGGTTATCTAACTAAAGCACATTTTACAAGTTATGACATTAGTAAATGACAACTGCCCAATATTTTTTGAATAAAACTGTACCATCGACATGATATTCCTAATATAAATACAAAATTTGACAACAATCGGTCCAGTACTTATCATATGTCTAATAAAAATCGGACTCGATTACAGTTTTTTGGCCAGAAAATATTGGGCAGTATTTTTTTCTCATTTAAAAAAAATACGATGTAGTCTATGCTTTATTGTCATAATGATTGACACTTTTAAAAAATAAATTTTGACATACGTCTACGTCAAAATGACAAACATGGCAAATTTGAGGTTATAAGTACGTAAATCCTGTTTTAGACCTTACGTCACTGGAATGACAGAACTGCCCAAGATTTTGTGGCCGAAACTGTACTTCCTTCACTTACGCTCGGGAACTAAAAAATCGAAGTTGGCTGTTATAAAAACAAATCTAAAAGCATTCTAAAAGTCAAAACTAAAATTTTAATTTCCAATTTTGACATTTTTTCAATCTGCAACTTATTAAACTTAAAAATAATAACACGGACACTGGGTTCTCAAAACTTAAATCCAACACACAGTCTACCTTCTTTTTGGGTTTGTGGTCCTAAAAATGTGGTTGCTAATTCTGTTCTGAGAATGTTTTTACGACTTTGACTTCTTCACTACCCTACTGGAGCTTACTAGATGCAAATTTATGACAGCTTTCCAAACTTGAATAGAAGCTGTTTCTTATGGGTGAAACACTTGCCCTAAACAGAACCGGCTTATCTTTGGCAGTATTAGTTTAGGATGCTCTTTATTCACAGACGGGGGTTGGAAAAGTCAAAGTAATAAAACCACTTAATCTCTTGTGCCGGTATAAATCAAAACAGTTTGACAACTAAACTTAAATGTTATGTCAAAAAAATAAATTAGGCCACCTAATTTTGACGTCAATATAGACTGACTGTAGAACTATAGCTCAAATACATACATTTTTAAATCTGCCATAGAAATAAACTTGTAATTATAACAGGGACAAAAAGTTATTAGTTAAAGGTTATGTTTTTATTGATTTCCGTCAAATTCAACGCAGTAGTGCCACCCAAAGCGTGACAGGCAACGCCAACTCTGATTCATTTTATTCAAATATGTTCTTGTTGAATGCAATTTACTTCCTGCAAATAAATCCATTTGGCAGCTTAATGAGGATTATCTTTGCAAAGTACAAAGCAATTTTCCGCAAGACTGGTGCTAACGTCATGACGGCTTTTGTTATTGTCAAAGTTGATGGATGATAATTGCTGGAATTTCCACAAAAGGATGTCTACTTTTCAAAGGGCAGCTTCAAAATTTCCAAATATTCAAAGAAAGCTTAGCGTGACCATAATAGAGAAATTCCGAGAAGCATATAAGCATTTACATCATCAGCAGCTTAAAAAAAATTATGACTATTATGTGAACACAAATGGATAAAACCAACTATTTCTACAAATACTTTAAATTAAATGTAGTGTTTCCTGTGACATTTTTGCAATAAAATTCTACTAAGCCTCCCTGCTATTTTATTGTAGTCCACTAATAGATATTTTTATTTTTATTTGACAAGCAATAAAAATGTCCAAAGTCAAACCACCCACCTCTTCAAGGCTATCAAAGTTTGCAAATCAACGATATAGCCTGGTCCAAAACTAACCAACGAAATAAATATAGCCTGTTCTGTTTTTAATGTAGATGTTTATATATTTTTTACAACAAACTATCTAAAAATCAAAAATATAAAATACAAAATTTATATAGCGGTTTTCAACACTATCTATCCTAACCCGGTCAACAATCACCAATCTATCCACATCCGATTTACAAAACAAACCCGCCAGAATCGATAATTAAATAAAGATGACTTTGTGTGTTATGAAAACACGACCATCTGCCACCCAACAACAACCTTACGTCACGAAATTCCGCCAATGAAATCGCCCAAACACTTCGCCTACTAGATCATTTTACATTTCCTTTAGAGGTTATGAGTTATTCCCCTAATAAAACCGGCGAAGTTGCGTCCCGAAAGGGCAAGATCGCGCAAGGACGGTTATTTTTTCGGCCGCCGTGTGTACATCAACGTTTATTAATAAACGGTGAGCAATGCACTTAACCACATTCCGTCCAGCATTCGCAACAGGTGTATTAACTGTAAAAGAGAAAAATTCTTCACATACTAACCTAAGTCCTCCACCAGCCTCAACATGACTCCTCCGATGTGTAAGTCGCTCTTTACGCGGAGCTGGCGCTCAGCTTGCAAATCTGTAACGAGGACCCGGAGGTTCCAGGTTCCGTCGCCCACTATCTGGCCGTTGGCAATCATCGTCGATCACTATCACTTCACTTTCATTAAGATTAGATAAGTTATGATAAGAAAATGGTTTGTTTTTATTTATTTGGGCATTTTTGTTTACAACATTACGGTGCGCACAGAACGTGACCGTAATCACTTCCACACACGATGCGGACTGTCACAGCTCGGATAGATAAGAACAAGAACTAAATGGAAGGGGGCGAATGGTCGGGTTTTATGCGAAGATGGTGGCGACATCTCAACCGCAACGACTAAAGTAATACGGGAGAATTTGCAACACTGTAATGGATTCTAGCGGTAGATTTGAATGATATACTTCGTTTATTTTATAATTGTGAATTTCTGCTAGTTTCTGTTGTCTCATAATATTAATTTTTGATGTCTGCGTTGGTTTCACTGAATTAAGTTGAATTAAATAAACATATACATATTTTATTAAAATATATATGCGTTATATTATAAAATATGTATATTCGGCTATTTTAACCGTACGTCGGTTATATTACATACTTGATACATACATAATAAAATATAGTTACATTACATAGTGCTCGGGTTATTTGGGCACCAAGTTTACTTGCACACTTTTTTTTTGTTTCTAATAAATCTAAAATATTAGCAGCACAAAACAAAAAAATTAGGAACTTTTGTTTAATTCTAAGGTACTATTTATTCTAAAAGTGCGTTTACACATCCTTTCACAAAAACTTCGGGCGGCAGAGAAGGCAGTGTATGCTCAACATATTCGTATTTCCAAAATATTAAATCTTCTAAATCACTTGGTGCACTGATCTTATTAACTCAAACACGTTATTATCCCCGTAATACCAAAAATATTGACACACTGTCACTGTTTCAACGACTATGCTGTCACTTTCAAAACTAATACTACTTAAGTACTTACATCCTGTATAGTTTTATCCTAGAAGATGACATAGCTCTGAAACGACTCAATAATGCATTTATATTTTTTGATGTGACGAAAATGATAATGTGTTTGAGTTGGTAGTCGGAAACAATATCATTCATACAAATACAAAACGAACAGGCCGTGTTCAGATCCTTGCGAAACCCTGAAAACTGAATATAATACATATAATCGGACTTAAAAACTTATATCATCTTCGTAACCTCAAGAATGGGCATAATAAAATGACACAAAAACCAAAATAAGTCGATATAACGAGTGATCAAAAAATAAACCCTCTAGTTACTAGGGCTGCCAACGAATGAAAACTTCATTGCTATGTAAAAATCATCACAATTGAGATAGGGCGGGTGGGTGGGGCTTATATTTTGCCTTTTTTCTTAATATACGCAATAGTCATTTCAGAACAAGAAACTTACATGTTTAAAATGGTAAATTCTTGTGACAAATATGGATCTTGAGTCAAGCCCCGCCCCTCGATCTGACAACGAATGAAAAATTCTTCACAATTGAGAATTGAGACATAGTATTCTTTAAATAACACGATACTCAAAAACATGTTTTTAATTTCTCGTAGAGAAATAAGGATTTTGCAGTTAAGCTCCGCCCTCTTGACTCACAACGAATAAAAAAAAAACATCACAATTGAGATAGGGTGGGTGCATTTTGCTTTTTTACTTCCCGAGTGTAAGCCAAGGAGGTGAAGTATTGTAATCGAGTCCGTCGGCCGACTCTCTACTTTTACGTTTTCTCGACATTTTAGGACACCTACAGTACGAAGAAATAGGTTTCCCGTTTCCGATTGTGTCTGCCGTCCCGGATTTTTATTAGACAGATAATCCTACACGACTCCGTATTGAGTTTTTACTCGAAACGTCTAGATTTTTGGAAAAAAAAATCAAAATTATAAAACTAGATTTTCCAATTTAATTTTGAATCTGCAAAACCAAATGCTTTGAAATCTCGCAGATGTTTTAAAATTATGATAAGCATGATAAATTTTTAATCAAAATATATTTCCTTATCGTTTCCCCTCCAAAAAATTGATGACATTAGCTCAAAATTTTGCAGAATAAATCCTGTCTATTTATACTGTGCAAAATATGATAAGTCTGTGCTTGTAATTTATCATTCCGTTCATATTTTCTGGACTTGCATGTACAGGGTGCCTCAAAAAAATTAATGAATGCGTGAATTTATTTTATTGATTTAATCAGGAACACAAAGCCGAAAGTTCTGAAATCTTGAAGATGTTTTAAAGTTATCATCGTAATTTTTTTATCAAAATGTATTTGCTCATCCCCCTAAAAAAATTGATGACGTCACCTCAAAATATCGCTGAATATACCCTGTCTTAAATGTGCACAATATGATGAGTCTATACTTGTGATTTATTTTTAATAGTACATTCCTTCTATTTTCCCAGAGGATATGTCATTTGCCAAAATCAGTCTTATCTCAGCAAGTATTAGCCCCGCCCGCCCACCCCTATTTTCTCAGAAGATATGTGAATTGCCAAAATAAGACTCATCTTAGCAAGTACTAGCAAATACTACCCTCTGAGAAAATAAGGGGCGGGTGGGCAGGGCTAGTACTTGGTAAGATAAAGACTAATTTTGGAAATTGACGTATGCTTTGAGAAAATAGCGGGCGGGTGGGCGGGGCTAGTACTTGGTAAGATAAGACTGATTTTGGCAAATGACATATCTTCTGAGAAAATAGTGGGCGGGCCTATAATTGTTAAGATAAAACTGATCTTAAATCCAATCTTAAATGTGCAAAGTATGATGAGTCTATACTTGTGATTTATCACTGCATTAAATTTTTTTAGAATTGCTTATATGGGGTGTCAAAAAAAATTAATAACTTAGAGAATAGGTATTTACCAAAATCAGCCTTATCTTAGTAGATACTAGCCCCACCCACCCTCCCTCTCTTTTTTTAGAAGGTATGTCATTTGCCAAAATCAGTTTTATATTAGCAGCTACTACACCCGCCCACCCACCCTATCTTCTCTTAGAGGATATCTCATTTCCCAAAATCAGTCTTATCTTAGCTATTACTAACTCCGCCCACCCGCCCTTTATTTTCTTAGAGAGTATGTCATTTGAAAAAATCAGTTTTATCCTAGTAAGTACTAATGACTAAATTTTACAAAAAATGATCAAAATTTGCAAACATTACGAGCTTACTTATATGCAGTGGTTGGAAGTAGTTGATTACTGTAAATCAATTCCTTTTCAAGTAATGAGTAATTGTAACGAATTACTTTTTTGACACTTTTACAATTACTTTTAACCCAAATATTTAAAAACATTGTTATGTTTTTTCCTACGAATCGTTTACCTGACCTGCTGGGATTATTGTATCTGGTTTTTGCTATTTATGGATCAATTTTAAATTTTCAAAAAGGTACATAGTAGAAATTGTATTAAAAAATCCATTGCACTTTACAGAAATAAAATATCTTGAGTAAACAGGGGCAGAATATTTAAAATTTGTGGTCAAACAAACTTTAGCCATTTTTTTGATCCACTCAAATCTATAACACGCAACCGATAGAACCTGTCCTTTTAAACCCCTCATAATCTGACAATAAAATTTTATGATAACATTATCTTGCAGCTCCCTTCTAAGTATTTAGAAACATCCTTTTTATTAAAGATTAAAATATTTGCGTCCGCAGGTAATTAACAAATATCTAAAATTGTGTACTTCATCAAATTTTTCAAGGTGTAAAAAGTAATTGTAATTAATTCCTTTAAAAAAAGTAATTTGTAATTGTAATGAATTATTATTGCTTCTGAATAATGAGTCATTGTAATGCATTACCTTTTAAAAATAATTTTTCCAATCACTCGTGACGCCATCACATAATATTGTACATGCTCCTTTACATTTACTTTAGCATTACATATTCACATATGTTGATTTCAGCTTATAGGGGTTCTCAGAAAGTATAAATCAAATTTTACATTTTTTCGAAAACGCTGGATATGTTTCATTGTACTTCAGGAGCGTGGGAAGTTCTGTCCAACAACTTTCGACCATTTTTTTTTTCAGGAAGATAGGTCGCAGAGAACCACCCAATGTGCGCACTTGGTTATAACCTCACTTTTTTGACATATTGTGCCGAAGTAAGTACACACATACGTTTTTAGTGGCAAAAAACACCCAACAAGTAATCACAGGGTTTTCTGATCGCTCGTTATTTGTGTTTTTTTTTTCTGATTTAAATACTATGGGATATGTAAAACCACAAATTATGAAATTTGATTAAAATCATTTTCTTATTTAATAGAAACACAGAATATAGTGTAGGGACCTGTCAAACGCCTAAATAAAAAAATAAATACCCAAAATGTCTGCATTTTGCAATAATCGTGTATAAATGGATACAGTATAAAGACATGCATGTTCTTATAACCGTCACGTGCTGTTACTATTACTATGGTTATTTGGTGCACCTAAATTACTGAAATAAAGCATCGCCTTTCGAACGTGGTCTGGTCTGATGTTATAAACCGGATGAGTACATTCCACTTCATTCTCTTCATCCCCCAAAATATGTACATCATTCATAAAATGTTGGGCCACTGATAGTCCACTAAGAGTATAAGATGTATGATAAATATCCCTATGTTTGCCAGGTTTATCCAATAAACCCCCATGTGGATGTTGACAACAAGTCAAGATATACTCTTGCAACGCCCTTTCATCAAACAAATGATCCTTAACTTGAGTACCATCTGAAAAAAAAAGTGAACTAAATTCAAACACACCAAATCACAAACCTTCAGCTAATAGTGTATAAATTAACGGGAAAGCAGCCCCTTGCCAGAACGAATAGCAGCCATCGACTAATTTGTTTGTACGCCCTTGGAAACCTCCCTCTAACCTCATCTGCCTGTTGACAGTCCATCTCTGGAATCACCAATAATAGTATCACTCTTAAACCAAAATTCTAGTTTGATTACCAACAAGGCTTGCAAGTCACACAGATGGCCTTTCCCTAAAATAATAAGCGCAGATAAGCCACAAAAAGCGTAACCACCATGGGCCTCCATTCCCGGGCATCCAGAAAAACCACCTTCGTAAGTTTGACAACTGAAACATAGGTTAAGTTCCACCTTCCACCCAAGTGACTTTGTCACCTAACAATCCACTGAAACGTGCCCCTAACTAACTCCTCTGATAATATATTTGTAAGACTAGCAACCGCCAAGGCGCAATAAACGCCGCGAATATCAATTTCACCATCACGGTGCATGCAGAAGGAGCCATCTGGTTGTCTCACGCTCCACAAGAACTGCAGCAGTTTGTCTCTACAAGCAACCGTCACTTCAGTTCTCACACTTTACTACAACCCACCTATTAATAATATTGTAGGCCTCTTCCGTTCCTAGAGTCACCAGAGCATTGACAGCTGCATACGTAGCAGCTAAATGTGGTAAATGCCCAGGCCCCCCTCCAAACCCCCCATCAGGGCTCTGGCACCTACAAATCCCATTACTAGTGAACAAACCACTCCAAATCACTTACTTTCCCAAAAATTTAGCTACCGCACTTTTGAGTTTCTCTTCGATTTTGATTCCCAACAAGGCCAATGCGTGTAAAATCCAGTAGCAAAGCCACGGGCGGCTCGCATCCAGCGACTGAAAACACCCAACTCACTCTAGAAGCTCAAAGTACAAAACGCGTTTACCTGGTAACCAGAAGAAAGGTAAATTAAGCAGTCTAGGAGGTAACATTTGTGGGATTCCTGCAGGAGTTCCGGTAAATTGGGGTTAACTTTTATTCTTAAACTTAAATCGTACAGTTTTTTGTAAACGGCTTCTTCAACTTCACTCTGAAACGAGGAGGTTATGTTAAAAGGACGGGTTTCGATAGAATCGGTTTACCTGTTCGACGGAAGTTATTGTTACGACACCTTCGTCTTTAAATCTTTGTTTTTTAATCTCTTCTATCGTTCGAAGAGGTAGAGTTTTAGCCATGCTTATTTGGATTCATACAAAATTAATTTTTTTCGCGAATTAGCATTTCGTACGATGGCTGCACTGCAGCCGCCATGGACGACGTAATTGAGCGACGTGGATTGGCAACAGTGGGTGGGTTCAAATAAGTGCGCAATATCATTGTTGCATTAATTATTTTAATTAATATTATATAAACACGTCTGTCGCCTTTCTATTTCGTTGTTTTTCTGAATGATTGCGTATTTGTTGTCTTATGTAGTGTCTATAGCGAATTCACAAATTCTCGAATTCTTGAAATCGAGTGATTTGAGTTATCAGCGAAAGTGATAAACTCCATACATAAATTCTTAAGGTCAGCACGTTCTGGCTCCCCAATAGTTGTTATTGTTGCCAGTTATTTATAAAATTCGGTGGAAGCAATATCTATCAGTGATTAATTTGCTGTGATGGAAAATTACGTTTATTCAAGTGAAACTTCTGAAGATTCAGACTGCAATGTAAGTTTTCTCAATTAATCACCAGTGCAATTATTTTTACTCCTCAATACTTGTCCAGGTAAAGATTTTTCTACTATTTGTGCTGAATGAAAATTAGTCAACATATGTTCACCGCATAATAGTATAAAAATAAATTAGCATTAGTGCCTTTGTAGAATATTTTTATTAAAAAAATTTGCATGACGCACTATTTCCGATTTTAAAAAAATAGTGCTATACATAGAACATATTTTCGCAATTATAACGATAGATAAAACTGAGCACGTGGTACACCATTTAATTTACAACTCTTAATTAAACGATAAGGCCGACCCCAAGGAGTCAATTTATTATCATGGAAAAATAAGCTCTATTTGATTTATACGGTCTTTTATGGAAAAACTTTTTGTTGCCCTATTAACCCACTATAAGACAGTCTAAAATCTTCATTTTGTTTATTCATAACATTAAATTAACAAGTGCGCACAGGCTATTTAACTTCTTTAATATGGTTCAGTTAAAGTTAAACGAAGAAGTTTCTAATAAATGGGTAAGTGGACTTTGATGTACCTATTGATATTTGTGGATAAACAGATAACAAGTTCATTAAAAACAAAATTTGAGAGAAAATACGCCGATTAGCGCCATTATTGACTCCGCCTTATGCTGATAATACTATTATTGGACAGATTACGTCAATCACCTTATTTGTTATGATTACTTTTAACTTTTAACACTGTCGGGTATTTTTTACATTATCAATGATTTTAACATTCAAAAATAAATACGCTAATGATAAAGAATAACATTTGTATCGCAAACAGTTCCAGAACTCTTACGCAGCACTAGAATATCCAAACAGAGGGTAAGTCAACAATAAAAAAATATGTGTTAAAGTGCATAGTTTTTAGATTATCAGCTTCATATTAAGAAATAAACTGATAATTATATCGTTTGTTTATATTTATAAAAACATAGTTAAAATGTTAACATGTTACGATGCACTTTTCAGAATCATTACTTTTTTTCAAACTGTAAGGAAATTTATCTGATTATTTTAAAAAACGAGCTGCTTTTAAGACGCAATAGTTGAGATAGATTTATTATTATTTATTATGCACGTACGTTAATTTAGTGATCTGCTATAACAGACTATAGTCGAACTTCCATGTAGCGAAATCGATAAAGTGTAAATGGAAATGTATTCCAGTAAAAATTAGTAGGGATCGTTCTCTAAGTTTTTTTTTACGTAAACTGCATTAGATAAAATGATTTGGCCCAGTGTTTATACATACACAAGTTTATAAAATTTATTGTTTCAAATTTCGTTTGCTTTGTAAATACATTTTAATTTATTCTAGAACACACAATTTCGTAAATAAAGTATGGAAGTTCATTCCTAGAAGTTTCACTATATGTAACTGAAAATGTTAATTATAACATTGTTGGCAGGGCATAGTCACGTACAACACATACTTAATTGATAATGAGTAAGAGTAAAATATATCAAGGCCAGAGGTCGTACTTAAGCTGTTTTAAAAACAACGGACTGCTCACACAGAAATCACTCTATGGAAATGTTTATTCCTTATTAATAGATATGTTTATGCAAAACATGTATTCCAATTTATGAGTAAATTTACGGACTCACTATAACATAACTATTAAAAAATATATATTGTATTGCATTTAGACTGGAACTTAAGCTCTTCCCAGATTTGACTCTTAAAACTATATACATACAACTATTCCCTACGAGATATCAATTTAGAATAAAGTAAAATATAACTTAAAATTTGAACATTATTTAGGACGACATGAAAGAGGGCTTTTGCTGCGACGCCGACAACCCCAACGCTTGCTGCCACAAAGACTACAACGGCAGCATCCGTGGGGCAACGAGCGACTGCAGAGTTGTAGATGACCCCAGCTGCAATCCAGACCGACCTCTAAAGGTCACCTTTGAAGAAATCACATCGGCTGCATACAAAATCAAGTCGGGAATCATAAACACACCTTGCTCGGTAATCTCTAAAAAACAAGACACACGAACGCACTCATAATTACCTTACAGAAATCCCACATGTCCAGTTTAACAGGAATGGACATCTACTTAAAAAAAGATTTCTTGCAAAACACTGGAAGGTAAGCCGGGACGACCACATATGATTAAAATAATTGCTGGGTGAAGTTTTAAGGACAGGGGGGCGAGGTATGCCATGTTGACGCTTACACCCGAAAGGAGACAAAAAGGCGTAATTGCCGCATCGCTGGGTAATCACGCGCAGGCCGTTTGTTACCACGGGCACCAGCTGGGAATTCCCGTGACGGTGGTAATGCCCATAATCGCGCCCATCATGAAAATACAGAAGTGTAAGGAGTATAACGCCACTGTGGTTATGGAGGGGAAGGACATGGCAGAGGCGAGGAAAATCGCAATGAAGATGGCCAAGGATAAAGGGTTCACTTACATTAACGGGTACTCATGTCAAAATTAAAAACCGGTCAAGTAAATTTTTGGGTTGGCAATTATCCGGTCGACAACCTGACAAAAAAAATCACAGACATTGATAATCACTCGGTTTTGCGATTTAGGAAAATTTGGATAAATTGAATGTTGGCTATTGTTGCGAATTCATTGTGTCGCTACATTTATCTCTACTTTGAGAACATTGACCCTAATTATCATTCTTAACTATTGTAGATATGACCATCCACAAATAATCGCCGGTCAAGGAACCATCGCTCTTGAAATTATGGAGCAAGTGGACAACATCGACGCCATCGTGGTACCTACAGGAGGTGGAGGTCTTTTAGCTGGAGTGGCAGTCGCCGTTAAAACTCTACACCCCAACATAAAAATCATTGTACGCAATTCTCTCCCTTCCAGCTAGAAGTATTCAAGGGTACTCTTTCAGGGGGTTGAATCCGAGCGCTGTGCCAGTTTTTCTCAAGCTATGGAGCAAGAAAAGCCCGTTCCTACTGCTATCGAAGGAACCCTGGCAGATGGGTTAGCCGTGCCCATGGTCGGATACAACGCATGGGAAACCGCGAAGTCCCTCATTGACAAAATGGTAGTAGTCAAAGAAGAGTGGATCGCGGTGGCCATTTTGAGGATGGTAGAGCTGGAAAAGTGTGTAGTGGAAGGTGCAGGAGCCGTCGGATTGGCTGCGATTTTAGCGGGACAGCTGGACGAATTCAAAGGAAAAAGGTTTGGGTTTAAGGTTGTGACACCTTAGAATGATTAGTGGTTTCAGGATTGTCCTTATTTTAAGTGGAGGAAACATTGACACGACTATTTTGGGGCGTTGTCTGGAAAGGGGTCTGGCAGCTGATGGAAGACTGGTTAAGTTTAAAGTCACCGTGAGTGATAGGCCGGGAGGGATATTGGAGTTGTGCAAACTCATTGGGTCCATTGGGGTTTCTATTAAAGATGTGATACACGAAAGGGCTTGGGTGACGTCTGATGTTTTCAGCGTGGAGGTAACTAACTACTTTGGTAAAAAGTGGCATTTTCTGATTAACAATCGTAGGTCAAAGTAGTGGCAGAAACGCGAGATTACTCACACAGCATGGAGCTAAGAGACCTACTCAACAGTCGCTACAAGAAAGTCAAGTTTGAAAATTTACCCGAGAATTTAGCAGTTTCATCAACCAGTGAACACTGACTTACCTACAATATCTATAATTCGATTGTGATACTACATTAATTTAGGTTTTACAAAACTACTTGAATACTCAATAAACTTTGCTGACACATTTATTAAAAATAATAACACATAAATAACAATATCATCATAATGCACGACATTTGGTCTTTCCAGTTGCGTCTAGCCCGTCACAATATCCCTCCACCTACTTGAACAACCCAGCCGCTTGCTCCATGAAAGTCGCAAGCTTCACATCCCGAGTACTCAGACCATTCACATCGTGGGAAGACAAAGTAACTTGTACTTTATTGTACACGTTGAACCACTCCGGGTGATGGTCCATTTTTTCGGCCAGAAGGGCCACCCGAGTCATAAATGAGAACGCCTGCAAAAACCTAACCTCAATTTCGTTCTAACGTCACCGTAGTAACGAAAACGCACACGGGGTGCGCCCGCACTCTAAAGACACTTTAATCCTCATCACCCGTGTGAAATCCCCTTTATCTTACCTCATTAAAATTCTTGAACAGAAATTCCTTGTAAATGGCATCCCTGTTGTTGACCACGGTCCAGCCACTTTTCAATAATGGCTCTAGGTCGGTTTTTCGTTGTTCCTCCGTGAGTTTCCCTGCCTGATGACAATCAATACCTGATAATTGTTAAAGGGGTGCTTACCATTTTCCTTTTCTCTTTGTTGGAAGCGAACTGGTCGGAGCTCAAGGATACCGTGCGGAGATTGTGGTGGAGTGAGTGAAAGTCGTTATCGACGACGGTTCTTGCGGAATAACGCACAGCCGCAAGACGAGAAATCATAAAACTCATTTTTTTGCGTTGTGTTATCAATGTTTTGGGTTATGTGACAACTAATTACTTTTAAAAAGTTGCCGAAAAAGTGATAATTATGGAAATTGTGATAATGATGGATAAACAAATTACGATGGGGCAACAAGACGCAATTAACCAAGAGTGGTGTTTTTTTAAATAACACAAATACCTGATTGGTGTTTTTACATTATTTAAAAGAATTAAAAATGTGGGTAACGAAAAACTGCACAAAAATTGCGCATCGAATTCACATTTTGCACTTTTAGGGAAGACGTGGGGGACTGGAAAGCTACCGTAATAAGAAGGCGTCTTTTTCTGATACATGGGTGAGAAGAAGATGCAACTATATATTTCAGTTGGCAATACGGAAGTTGACAGATGGTTGACATTTGGAGGTTAATCTTCGATTTTTCGTAAACTGAGTCAAACACGTGTTGTTGGGTGCTTTATAGTGATAGTACTCCTGTATTTTGTAAATAATTGTTACTAATAATTCGTTAATAATGAAAACTGCCACCACAGTACAGTCGACAGAAGTACGAAGTAAGACAAAAATGTAAGTTTAAACCATCTTCCCTAATTACAAAATTTAGAAGAAGGATACTGTAGCTAATAATAATAATATAATAAGTGTTCTGTTTTTTTAAACATTTAATATACAAAGGCTGAACCAGTACAAGGGACCACACACATCCCAACATTATCATTATCAATTTGATTTATTTATACACAAAAATAATTAAAATAGGCAGCCCCAAGTTACATTGGTTTGTTCAATTGGTAGGAACGACATAAATTAGAGCAATGCAATTATAAGAACTAGGAAATTAACTTGAATATCTGCAGAACTAATCCTGATATTGGTTTGTTTATAATGGTTTAATTAAAAAATAATCATAACACATAAAATAACGCCATTATGCAACCAATTATCTCTAAAACTGTTATCAAAAAAATTATGATATGAACTAATCTTGTTTTTCTATTTTATTTTAATTACATAATACGAATTGACGAAAGTCCTATTGCACAAACACGTGCCAGATTTAGTGATTTTCTACAGGGTGTTTCATGACAACTGGTCAATAAAATTATTACACAATAAGTAGGTTTCGTCGGAAATGAAAACAATTTTGGTTTTTTGATAGGACTGCAGATAAACGTATTTTTTCAAAATATATAAAAATCCAAAAGTTTGAAGAATTAGTTGTGCTGCGTAGTATACAAGAAAAAATGTGTTTCAGAACATCGTCCGAAGATTCCAAGCAAAAAACCCTTCGGGGTAAACCCAAGTCGGGCCGTTTTTGGAAAAACGAAAAGAAAAAATTCTCGTCAATCATAAAAACCAAAGGCATTAGAAACTCGTTTGAGAAAAAGCAGGCCCTAAGAAAAGAACTGCAAAGGGTGAAAGAAGCGAGTAGAGCCGTCATAGCGGCAAAGGAGGAAGAAAAAGAACAAAAAAAGCAAAGACGGAGAGACAACCTGAAACGACAAGAAGAAAACAGGAAGAAATCTGAAATTGTACAAGTCATTACAAACACAACTAAAATTAAGAAAATGAAGAAGAAACAACTCAGGCATATTGAAAAAAGAGATACTGTTAATATGTAAGTTTATTAAATACTACATTCGAAAAACTCCATATTCTGTTTTTTCTGGTTCGGCGTTTAATGCAGCCGCCAGGCTTAAACCTAGAACTTTCCTGGTGTCTTTGGGGTCAATCACGCCGTCGTCCCACATTCTGAGAAAAATAAATTTATTTTTGGTTAAATTTTAGTAGTTTGTTTACCGTGCGCTAGCAAAATACGGCGATCCTTCTCTTTCAAATTGTTCTATGATTGGTGCTTCAAAGTCGTCTATTTGTTTCTGCGTCCATTGCTTTCCTTTACTGATCACCTGAGAAAGAACACCTGCGGCTTGGCGTCCACCCATCACAGAAATACGAGCGTTGGGCCACATATAGAGGAATCGGGGTGAATATGATCGTCCACACATCCCTTTATACATAAAACGAATTATTATTATTTTTTTTGAACGAGTCGTCTTACCATAGTTGCCAGCCCCATAAGAGCCCCCAATTATCAACGTAAACTTTGGAACTTTAGCACAAGCAACAGCAGTGACTAGCTTCGCCCCATGTTTAGCAATACCTCCCATTTCCGCATCCTTTCCCACCATGAAACCTAAATCGCATTAAATCGTGAAACATTTAACAACTCTGAACAAACCTGTAATATTTTGTAAAAATATAATCGGGATATTTCTCTGGGTGCACAGTTGCACAAAATGCGCCCCTTTCATCGCACTCTCCGAAAACAAGACTCCATTGTTCCCCACAATCCCCACTTTTTTCCCATACAATTTCGCAAAACCACAAACTAGAGTGTCTCCATATTTCTTTTTAAATTCGTCTAATCTAGACCCGTCAAAAATCCTAGCTATGACTTCTCTAATTTCAAAAGGTTTCTGTAAATCCGGGTCTATAATCCCGTACAAGTCTTCACCACTGTATAGTGGCGGCTCGAATTCAGTATCAAAGTTCTCAACGTGTCTGCGATTGAGATTCTTCACGATTTGTCGAGTGATGTAGAGCGCATGCTCATCGTTGAGAGCAAAGTGATCAGTGACACCCGAACTGGAACAGTGTAGTTCAGCACCCCCTAATTCCTCCTCTGATATTTCTTCTCCAGTGGCCATTTTCACCAACGGTGGGCCACCTAAAAATATGGTGCCTTGGTGCTTGACTATTATGGATTCGTCTGCCATTGCAGGAACGTAGGCGCCCCCTGCAGTACAAGAACCTAAGACGACTGCAATTTGGGCAATTCCTGCGGCGGACATGTTAGCTTGGTTGTAAAATTCACGCCCGAAATGGAGTTTATCAGGGAAGACATCTGCTTGATGTGGCAAGTTTGCGCCGCCACTGTCCACAAGATAAATACACGGCAGTTTATTCTCTTGAGCTATTTCTTGAGCTCGCAGATGTTTTTTAACAGTCATGGGATAATAAGTCCCGCCTTTAACAGTAGCATCATTTGCTATCACCATACATTCGCGCCTAAAGGTTTATTTTTAAATTATTAGTCTACGTTTGGTTGATACTTATACCCATGTATTTTACCAATTCCTGTTATAACTCCAGCTGCGTTTATACCACCTCCATACATGTCATAAGCTGCTAAAGCTGACAATTCCAAAAATGCGGTACTTTTGTCCAGAAGCAAGTTAATTCTGTCGCGAACTAAAAGTTTTCCTTTTGATGTGTGTCTTTGTATTGCTTTGTCACCCCCGCCTTTCAGAATTTCGTCAGTTCTGTGGCGAAGAGTCGAAACTAGGTTTTTCATGTGGACCTCATTGTTCTGAAACAAATTCAAATTTGGCGGGTGTAAGTCAGGTTAGGTCATGCGGCAGGTTGAGTAACATGAGAAAATAAAATAATTACAATGAACTGTTGAGATTTAAAGTCGATTTTGGTTTTAATAACATTGCCAGTGTCTGTGTGGAGAAATTTTACGAACGATTGGTTATACAATATCCTTGATTTAGAAAACATGTTCACTGTCACTGTTCACCTAAACGTATACCAATGGAAGAAAAATACACATGTAATAGTGCGTTATCAGTGTGGAGATTATTGTAATCTTTGACCTTTTTTGAATAAATAATATGGCCATTGGTAAAATAAGTTCTAGGGGATTTTGCTGTTTCTGGTTACATTTTTGGAACGTCCGATTTATTTTTATTTTAACATGTATTGCGTTTCTTAGTTGAGTTTAATGAACAGAAACAAATTTACAGGTGTATTTATATCGATTCGCAGTAATTTTTGCCGCATTTTTTATTTTATTATTAATAAAACTGCGTCAAAATTCGAACGCACGGTTGGCGCGACTGCTGATAACAGCGCCACTTACGTTGACAGCCAGCGGCCATTTTCCGAATTTCTTCCTCACGAGATATTTTCCGAAAATTGTTTGCCTTTACTAACGAAAATGTTGAACCGAAGCGCTTTATTCGCCAGGAATGTAGTCACCAATTTCGTGAGGAACCACCACGGAGGCAACCCCGGGGAGGTAAGAGTCGCCACCGAGGTTACATAACTGTCAAATTTTGGGGTTGGGATTCAACAATTTTTCCGATTTTCCTTAGATTGTGTGCTAATTTTGCGGTGTTATTGTGTGCAGAACTTACCTTTTGACATCAACAATAGGTTTAAATTGACGGCCATGTTCATTGCGTTCTTTGGATCCGGATTTGGGGCGCCCTTCCTCATCTTGAGACACCAACTTCTCAAGAAGTAAACTGTATTAAGTGAGTACTGGTTTAACTTGTTGTGGTTACACTGAGTTTTGTGTTCTAGGTGTATAGTCAGATTAGTAAGAATTTTTTAATTCGTATGTAAGTACTAAAACTTCATTCATTCAATAAATGTTACTGTAAGTAATCGCATTTTGATTTTTTTGGTGTTCCTGTGACGCAAGTTGAGGGGTTTTGAACAAGTGTACACATTTCACGAAAAGTAGTCTCTGAGGGCTTATAACTCTTGTGGTTACATTTTTTTTAATTTGTTTGTTTTCAGTTGATCAGACTAATGATTAACTATTTGTCGGAAGCTATTTTTAAATTAAGTTGTTTTGTTGACAGTTTAAGACACATCTTAATTGAGAAAAGCCATTATCTCCTAATGATATATGTGTTGAAAATTAATTGCCGTTCCACTCTGGCCTACAATTATTTTCCCTGACATCATTGACGCAAATGGCTCTTCAGTTATGTAACTAACACAAGCGTGGAATTAATTATGTGGCAGCAAATTCTGTATACATTTCCTTCAAAGCACAATAGGTGTGACTATAAACACATTATTGAAGCATAATGTGTTGTTATTCATGTCACTCTGACCAAAAGTTGCTGCATGTTTGTAAATTATGGTGACGATTTATGCAACCACGTACGCAAAATTCGGTATTTCTATTTTTAAATAATTTCTGTTGCCCCTCTACACACACTTAAGCAATTTAGTACAATTGGAGGCATAATTTCATTAATACACACAGTGCTTGTCTATCTGTACGCAATGGCAAGTCAAACCCAAGGAATCCAACAACTGCTCACCGCGGAAAAAAGGGCGGCAGAAAAAGTCGCTGAAGCCAGAAAAAGTAAGTTATATTTATATTTAAAGTTTTGTTTTAAATTTAGAAATGCTGAAGCGGGATTGTGCCGTAATAATTAGTCAGTGGTGCGTAAGTTGACAAGTGTTTTGCGTCTGTTTTTAAATATTTTGACGATTTCAACGATTTTGTGTGCGTAATTTTTATAGGGAAGGCGCGCAGAATTAAGCAGGCGAGAGAGGAAGCCCAAGCGGAAATTGAAAATTACAGACGGGAACGAGAGAGGCAATTTAGAGAATACGAGGCCAAGTACATGGGGTCTCGTGAAGACGTTGCCGCTAAAATTGACAAAAACACCGAGCAGATGCTGATTGACGTGGAGGACGACGTTAAAGCTAACAAGGAAAAGGTTGATTTTGGCACGATAGAGTTATATTGTTCTAAGAATAACTAACGCAAAGTCTTGTTTAGGTTTTGGCTGACTTGCTGTATTTGGTTCTCAACGTGAAGCCCGAAGTCCATCCGAATTACAAGATCATGAGAGTCTTCGGAAAAATATAACCGTTTGACTTTGTTTTCACATTGAATTTGTTGCACAATATTGTTTGACACTGCTCTTTTCTTATCGCATATTATTATGATTAATAAAAATACATAATCCGATTTAAATTGGCCGCCACTGTGTTGATTTATGTGTTGCTTAGTAACGAGCAGGTGGACCAACTTTGGGAGTAGACGTCACTGAGCGGTCTAATCCGTAGTGTCAAAGTCCAATGAGCAAACCTATTTTCGTGTGAAACTACATTTTTATACAACTTTTACCGTTTAAGAAAAATGGCCCGTGTTTTGGTAGGCGTAAAACGAGTAATTGACTACGCTGTCAAGGTAAATTCATTTAATTTGGTTCTCGTTATCAATTCTGAAATATCCAGATTCGCGTAAAACCCGACAAGTCCGGGGTTGTCACTGATGGGGTGAAGCACTCAATGAACCCCTTCGACGAAATCGCAATCGAAGAAGCCGTCCGTCTCAAGGAAAAGAAATTAGCTTCGGAGATTATCGCAGTGTCATGTGGTCCAACTCAGTCGCAAGAAGTTATCAGAACAGCGCTCGCCATGGGGGCTGACAAAGGTATTCACGTGGAGGTGTCTGGTAAAGACTATGAGACTCTTCAACCAATTCACGTGTCAAAAATTTTGGCCAAAATCGCTCAAAATGAGAAAGTTGATATGGTTATCGTGGGTAAGCAAGCAATTGATGATGATTCCAATCAAACGGCGCAAATGACGGCTGCAGTTTTGGACTGGCCGCAGGCGACATTTGCTTCCAAAGTATTTATGATTGTTGATTTTGGGAATTTGGGTTGATGTGGTGTTTGCAGGTTGAGAAAGGCGATAAAGAGATTACGGTCACCAGGGAGGTAGATGGAGGTCTAGAGACTATTAAATGTAAACTTCCGGTGGTTATAAGTGCCGATTTGCGTTTAAATGAACCCCGTTATGCCACCCTACCCAATATTATGGTATTTTTTAATTTGTTTGACATTATAATGATAATAAGTATTATTATTTTAGAAAGCAAAGAAGAAACCTATTGCAAAAGTCACCCCCAAGGATCTAGGGGTGGACGTTTCTCCTAGAATCACTGTTGTAAGTGTTGAAGATCCCCCAGTTCGTGAACCTGGGGTTATTTTACCGGATGTGGATGCTTTGGTTGCTAAGTTGAAAGAAGGTGGTCATGTTTAAGTACAAATCTTGCATAGGCACAAGTGTATATTTTTATAAATTTACAAGGTACTTTTTACAGAAAAATACATATACCCAATTACAATAATCGATCATAATCAAATACTAGATTAGAGGTGTGGGTAAGTTGATGCAAGGATGGCTTCATTTCCCACTCACCACTTTTTGTTTTATTAACATCTATAATAGCGCAGTAAGGAATGGATTTTATAATATTTTTCATGTTCCATATATTCCTAGGTTTTTGTCCAAGTAGCTGCCGCGTACAAGCTTCCAAAGTAGTGGCGTGTCCCACAAACAATATATTACCTTCTGGATGCGTCCTTAATAAGTCTAAAGTTAGTGAAAAGCTTCGAGAATAATATGCATCACACGTTTCTTCCTCGCTGGGTATTTTGTAAGATCCATATGGTTTATAGTTTAGATCTATATTATAGCCATATTCTACCATCTCTTCAGGCGTCAGCCAGATAGGTAACGCGTTGGTATGAAAAGCCCACCACTCAAACAGTCCAGGTTCCACCTTAATTTTAATTTCGTTGTTTTTGTTACAACCTTTGAGAAACGCATCACACGTTTGAATACAACGTAGTGAAGGTGAACAGTAAACGTCAGAAACTTCAAGATGCTCTTTTACGAACGCTTCACCAGTGAGTTGTGCTTGAAAAATGCCCATTTTGGTTAACGGGGAGTCTTTTATGTAAGCACTAGGCCCTTGGGAACGTTTAGGTACACTGTCAGGCATATTTAGATTTGTCGGGCAATAGTTGCCGTTTTTGTCGAAACATTGAGATATCCAGTCGCCAAAGGCGTAGTCTAGGCGTTCACCATGACGCATTATATAAAGGGGGCCCTAGAAAAACGATTGTGGTAATAATAATACTTAAATCTTAAGATTTTTCATACCATATTCTGATTTTGTTATAGAGGTGATACTGATAATATTCGTGCGCTTTTTGTACTTAGAAACAACTACCAAAATGAATTACATTACAACTAGGAGTGCAAGGTTACATAGCACGAAAATAGATAAAACAACAGTCTTATCGCTGCGCATTTAATCAAGGATTTAAAGTAATAGTTGTGTGAATAATTCCACTTTATTTGATATTCCCCACATTTGTGATAAAACTAAATGAGAGTTTTAAATTTTGGTGGATTTATTATTGGTTTTAGAACTGTGAAGTCATTAATTATTACAACAGCCGATTGTAATCAAAAACTGCATTAGATGTGTGACTGAACTGCAAAAAAGGTGACCCATTCTTCTCCCATTTATCTCCAGTCTGACGAACTTCCATGAAACCGCAGTAAGGAATTGCGGTCACATCATCTTTTGCTTCATCCAGTGGCTTTGATTTTTTGCCTGTTATTTCCCACGAACACACCGCTAAAGCACCTGCATGGGCCACAAACAACACATTACAATTAGCATGTGCATTTACTGCCTCTGTACTAACCACCAAACATCTAGAACAGTACTCGGCAAAGGTTTCTTTTTTGGCGCCTAATTCATCTATAGATACAATAGGTTTGTACTCCAGGTCCATATTATAACCCTCCGCTGCCAGCTCTTTCGGCGTTAACCAATCAGGCAAACAGTCGCCAAACAACACCCACCATTCATAGAGTCCTGGTTCCACCCTTAATTTAATTTCGCTGTTTTTTCCACACCCTTTGAGAAAAGCATCACACGTTTGAATGCAACGTAGTGATGGTGAGCAATAAACGTGAGAAACGTCGAGTTGCGCTTTTTTGAACGCTTCTCCGGTGATTTGTGCTTGAAAAATGCCGGTTTTTGTTAAAGGGGGGTCGTGTGCGTAAACATGATGTCCTTGGGGACGTTTAGGTACAGTGTCAGGCATGTTTAGATTTGTCGGCAAATAATCGCCGCATCTGTCGAAACATTGGGCCATCCAGTCACCGAAAACGTAGTCTAAGCGTTCACCATGACGCATTAAATAGAACTTGCGTGCTTCTCGACCCTAAAAATTGTGGTGAAAATCTAAGATTTCTTAAGTGTTGGTTAACTTACTTCCATCTTATGAGGTTCCTAACGTGGTAATGTTAATGCACTTTTTCGTATGTAGAAACGTAGATTAAAGTTAAAAATACAAGGTTACAAAGCTTGCAAACAAACAAAAAAAAATTCTTATCACCTTGTGTTTAATGAACTATTTAAACTAATGATATAATTGTGTGGTAGAAATTGCGACACTCGTGTTGATAATAATCGCACTAGACAATATGAAGACCCCCTTGTTATAATAAAACTACATCACAATTTTCGGTTTTGGTTTTGGAGTTGGATGTCCTGTAATTGCGATAGTGAAATCTTAATTATTAAAACAGCCGACTGTAATCAAAAACTGCGTTAGATGTGTGGCTGAGACGCAGAAATGGTCGCCCTTTCTTCCACTTATCACCACACTGACTAACTTCTATAAAACCGCAATAAGGAACTTCCACTTCAACATCTAGTGTTTCCTGTGTTAATTCAGTTTTTTTTCCTGTTAGCTCCCACGAACACACTGCTACAGTACATCCATGTGCCACAAATAACACATTACCTTGCGAATGTGCATTCATTGCCTCTGTACTAACGACTAAACTTCTAGAACAATACTCAGCATAGGTTTCCTTTTTACCACCTAATGCATCTATAGATATAATAGGTTGGTATTCTAAGTCGATATTATAACCCCAGGTTGTCAGTTCTTCTGGCGTTAACCATTTAGGTAAATTGTCACCAAAAAACGCCCACCATACATAAAGTCCTGGTTCTATTTTAATTTTAAGGTCGTTTTTGCCACAACCTTCCAAAAACGCATGACAAGTTTGAATACAGCGTAGTGATGGTGAACAATACACGTGAGAAACGTTGATTTGCGCTTTTTTGAAAGCTTCACTAGTGAGCTGAGCTTGAAAAATGCCGATTTTTGTTAAAGGGGAGTCCTTCAAGTAAGCATTATATCCTCCAGAACGTTTAGGTACAGTTTCGGGCATATTTAGATCCATTTGAAAATAATTGCCGTTTTTATCGAAACAATGGGATGTCCAGTCACCAAAAGCGTTATCTGCGCGTTCACCATAACGCATTATATAAAGCTTACGTGTTTCTTGACCCTAGAAAAATTATTGTGGTAATAAGTGCGGATAGAATAATTCCAAAATTTCTCAAGTAAACCCATTATCTATTTTTTTTAACGTGTTGGTTAACTTACTTCCATCTTGTAATATCCCTTTGGACGTGCTAAATTGAATGGCCTTTTTCATAAGTACAACAAGCTTTTAATGTTAAAAGTGCAAGGTTAAAAACGTTAAAATATATAGATATCGATGACATTTTTATTATGTCTATATTTCGTATTTAATGAACCACTTACGTAAACAAAAAATATAAAGGTGTCCCAATAACCAAGCTAATTATTATGACAGCCGATTATAATCAAAAGTTGCATTAGCTGTGTGGCTGAGCTGCAAAAATGTCGCCCATTCTTGTCCCACTTATCTCCATCTGACGAACTACTATAACACCGCAATACGGAACTGCTAACACGTTACTTGTTATACTACCTCTGTACTAACCACCAAGCATTTAGAACTGTACTCGGCAAAGGTTTATTTTCTGCCGCCTAATTCATCTATAGATACTACTGTATTGTATCTATAGACATGGACCTGGATTACAAACCTATTGGTTTTTACTCCAAGTCCATGTTACAACCCTCCGCTTACAGCTCTTTCGGCGTTAACCAATCAGGTAAACGGTCACCAAACAACACCCACCATTCATAGAGTCCTGGTTCCACCCTGATTTTAATTTCGCTCTTTTTGCTACACCCTTTGAGAAAAGCATCACACGTTTGAATGCAACGTAGTGATGGTGAGCAATAAACGTGAGAAACGTCGAGTTGCGCTTTTTTGAACGCTTCTCCGGTTAGTTGTGCTTGAAAAATGCCGGTTTTTGTTAAAGGGGGGTCGTGGATATGAACATGATGTCCTTGGGGACGTTTAGGTACAGTGTCAGGCATGTTTAGATTTGTCGGGAAATAATCGCCGTGTTTGTCGAAACATTGGGACATCCAGTCACCGAAAACGTAGTCTAAGCGTTCACCATGACGCATTAAATAGAACTTGCGTGTTTCTCGACCCTAAAAATTGCGGTGAAAATGTAAGATTTTTTAAATGTTGGTTAACTTACTTCCATCTAGTGATGTTCCAAACGTGGTAATGTTAATGCACTTTTTCGTATGTAGAAACGTAGATTAAAGTTAAAAATACAAGGTTACAAAGCCTGCAAACAAACAAAAAAAAAATTCTTATCACCTTGTGTTTAATGAACTATTTAAACTAATGATATAATTGTGTGGTAGAAATTGCAACACTCGTGTTGATAATAATCGCACTAGACAATATGAAGACCCCCTTGTTATAATAAAACTACATCACAATTTTCGGTTTAGGTTTTGGAGTTGGATATCCTGTAATTGCGAATAGTGAAATCTTAATTATTAAAACAGTCGACTGTAATCAAAAACTGGGTTAGATGTGTGGCTGAGACGCAGAAATGGTCGCCCTTTCTTCCACTTATCACCACACTGACTAACTTCTATAAAACCGCAATAAGGAACTTCCACTGCAACATCTAGTGTTTCCTGTGTTAATTCAGTTTTTTTTCCTGTTAGCTCCCACGAACACACTGCTACAGTACATCCATGTGCCACAAATAACACATTACCTTGCGAATGTGCATTCATTGCCTCTGTACTAACGACTAAACTTCTAGAACAATACTCAGCATAGGTTTCCTTTTTACCAACTAATGCATCTATAGATATAATAGGTTGGTATTCTAAGTCGATATTATAACCCCAGGTTGTCAGTTCTTCTGGCGTTAACCATTCAGGTAAACTGTCACCAAAAAACGCCCACCATACATAAAGTCCTGGTTCTATTTTAATTTTAAGGTCGTTTTTGCCACAACCTTCCAAAAACGCATGACAAGTTTGAATACAGCGTAGTGATGGTGAACAATACACGTGAGAAACGTTGATTTGCGCTTTTTTGAAAGCTTCAGTAGTGAGCTGAGCTTGAAAAATGCCGATTTTTGTTAAAGGGGAGTCCTTCAAGTAAGCATTATATCCTCCAGAACGTTTAGGCACAGTTTCGGGCATATTTAGATCCATTTGAAAATAATTGCCGTTTTTATCGAAACAATGGGATGTCCAGTCACCAAAAGCGTTATCTGCGCGTTCACCATGACGCATTATATAAAGCTTACGTGTTTCTTGACCCTAGAAAAATTATTATGGTAATAAGTGCGGATAGAATAATTCCAAAATTTCTCAAGTAAACCCATTATCTATTTTTTTTAACGTGTTGGTTAACTTACTTCCATCTTGTAATATCCCTTTGGACGTGCTAAATTGAATGGCCTTTTTCATAAGTACAACAAGCTTTTAATGTTAAAAGTGCAAGGTTAAAAACGTTAAAATATATAGATATCGATGACATTTTTATTATGTCTATATTTCGTATTTAATGAACCACTTACGTAAACAAAAAATATAAAGGTGTCCCAATAACCAAGCTAATTATTATGACAGCCGATTATAATCAAAAGTTGCATTAGCTGTGTGGCTGAGCTGCAAAAATGTCGCCCATTCTTCTCCCACTTATCTCCATCTGACGAACTACTATAAAACCGCAATACGGAACTGCTAACACGTTACTTGTTATACTACCTCTGTACTAACCACCAAGCATCTAGAACTGTACTCGACGAAGGTTTATTTTCTGCCGCCTAATTCATCTATAGATACTATTGTATTGTATCTATAGACATGGACCTGGAGTACAAACCTATTGGTTTTTACTCCAAGTCCATGTTACAACCCTCCGCTGACAGCTCTTTCGGCGTTAACCAATCAGGTAAACGGTCACCAAACAACACCCACCATTCATAGAGTCCCGGTTCCCCCTTATTTTAATTTCGCTGTTTTTGCTACACCCTTTGAGAAAAGCATCACACGTTTGAATGCAACGTAGTGATGGTGAGCAATAAACGTGAGAAACGTCAAGGTGCGCTTTTTTGAACGCTTCTCCGGTTAGTTGTGCTTGAAAAATGCCGGTTTTTGTTAAAGGGGGGTCGTGGACGTAAACATGATGTCCTTGAGGACGTTTAGGCACAGTGTCAGGCATATTTAGATTTGTCGGCAAATAATCGCCGTGTCTGTTGAAACATTGGGACATCCAGTCACCGAAAACGTAGTCTAAGCGTTCACCATGACGCATTAAATAGAACTTACGTGTTTGTTGACCCTAAAAATGGTGGTGAAAATTATTTAAATCTAAGATTTTTTAAATGTTGGTTAACTTACTTCCATCTTGTGATGTTCCAAACGTGGTAATGTTAATGCACTTTTTCGTTTGTAGAAACATAGATTAAAGTTAAAAATACAAGGTTACAAAGCGTGCAAATAAACAAAAATAAAAATTCTTATCACTTTGTATTTAATGAACTATTTAAACTAATGATATATTGTGTGGTAGAAATTGCGACACACGTGTTGATAATAATCGTACTAGACCCCTAGTTATAATAAAACAACATCACCATTTTCGGTTTTGGTTTTGGAGTTGGATGTCCTGTAATTCCGATAGTGAGATCTTAATAATTAAAACAGTCGACTGTAATCAAAAACTGCGTTAGATGTGTGGCTGAGATGTAGAAAGGGTCGCCCTTTCTTCCATTTATCTCCACACTGACTAACTTCTATAAAACCGCAATAAGGAACTCCCACTGCAACATCTACTGTTTCCTGTGTTAACTCAGTTTTTTTTCCTGTTAGTTCCCACGAACAGGCTGCTACAGTACATCCATGTGCCACAAATAACACATTACCGTGCGAATGTGCATTCATTGCCTCTGTACTAACGACTAAACTTCTAGAACAATACTCAGCATAGGTTTCCTTTTTACCACCTAATGCATCTATAGATATAATAGGTTGGTATTCTAAGTCGATATTATAACCCCAGGTTGTCAGTTCTTCTGGCGTTAACGATTCAGGTAAACTGTCGCCAAAAAACGCCCACCATTCATAAAGTCCTGGTTCCACTTTAATTTTAATGTCGTTTTTGCCACAACCTTCCAGAAACGCATGACAAGTTTGAATACAGCGTAGTGATGGTGAACAATACACGTGAGAAACGTTGATTTGCTCTTTTTTGAAAGCTTCACTAGTGAGCTGAGCTAGAAAAATGCCGATTTTTGTTAAAGGGGAGTCCTTCAAGTAAGTATTATATCCTCCAGAACGTTTAGGTACAGTTTCGGGCATATTTAGATCCGTTTGAAAATAATTGCCGTTTTTATCAAAACAGTGGGATGTCCAGTCACCAAAAGCGTTATCTGCGCGTTCACCATGACGCATTATATAAAGCTTACGTGTTTCTTGACCCTAGAAAAATTATTGTGGTAATAAGTGCGGATAGAATAATTTCAAAATTTGTCAAGTAAACCATTATCTATTTTTTTTAACGTATTGGTTAACTTACTTCCATCTTGTAATATCGCTTTGGACGTTCCAAATTGAATGACCGTTTTCATAAGTACTACAAGCTTTTAATGTTAAAAGTGCAAGGTTATAAATCCTTAAAATATATAGATATAGATAGTACCTTTATTATGTCGATATTTCGTAGTTAATGAACTACCTACTTAAACAAATAAAATAAAGGTGTCCCACAATAACCAAGTTAATTATTATGACAGCCGATTATAATCAAAAGTTGCATTAGCTGTGTGGCTGAGCTGCAAAAAAATCGCCCATTCTTCTCCCACTTATCTCCAATCTGACGAACTTCTATAAAACCGCAATACGGAGTTGCTAATATGTCACTTGTTGTATCCTCCGGTATTCGTGATTTTTCTCCGGTTAGTTGCCACGTTCACACCTCTAAAGTGGCTCCGTGTGCCATAAACCACATATTATAATTCCTTTGTACTAACTTTAAAACTTCTAGAATAGTACTCGGTATAGGTTTCTTTCTTGCTGCCTAATTCCTCCACAGATGTAATAGGTTTGTACTCCAAGTCAATATTATAACCCCACGGTGGTGTTAACCAACCAGAGGTAAACGCTCGCCAAACAACGCCCACCATTCATAAAGTCCAGGTTCAACTTTAATTTTAATTTCGTTGTTTTTTCTACAGCTTTTGAGAAATGCATTACATGTTTGAATGCAGCGTAACAAGGGTGAAGAGTAGACGTGAGACACGTCGAGTTGCGCTTTTTTAAATGCTTCTCTAGTGATTGGTGCTTGAAAAATGCCGATTTTTGTTAAGGGGGTGTCTTCCGCATAAGCAGAATAGCCTTGCCAACGCTTGGTAAAGTTGTCGGGCATATTTAGATCTGGCTGACAATAACTGACGTTTTTGTCGAAACATTGAGACATCCAGCGAGATCTACGCTTTCACCATGACGCATTATAAGGAACTTGCGTGGTTCTAGACCCTAGAAAAAATTATTGTGCTAATAATAATAAATTCAAAACTCATCCACTGTACTGAAAACTATTTAAACCGAAGGATTATTTTTTAATGTATTGATTAACTTAGTACGTCCATTTTATGATATCGTGTTAGACGTGTCACTGTATTTTTTTGTAAGAGCTGCACATAGATTAAAGTCAGAAATGGACGATTACAAAGCAGTTAAAAAAATGACATTCTAATCATTAGAAACTTAAACTAATAATATCTAGTCCGGTAGAAATCATAGTATTGTGGGTATTGTTGGTGATTTAAAAGCGACGGTACGGTTTTGAGTTTTTATCTTGTTCTTTACTGTTCGAGGGTGTCAGGGAGAAGAAGGAAGGGTGTTTAAAATGGTACACAGGTAAGCTCGGATTTGAAGAGGTGGAAGTAGGTAAAGAAGGGTTTAGAAAGTTCCAGAAGCGAAAAGAGAAAGTATGAAGAAGTGTAGGGCAGGTAGACGAAGGATAGGAAATATTTACATTTATACAAATATTACAAATGCCCTCAGGTAGAACACCTGATTTTGTGGGAACGGTTGTTCCTACAGTATCTATGCTGATAATAATAATGTTGGGACAATGAACTCCTAATTATTACAACAGCCGGTTGTAATCAAAAACTGCATTAGATGTGTGACTGAACTGCAAAAAAGGTGACCCATTCTTCTCCCAGTTATCTCCCGTCTGACGAACTTCCATGAAGCCACAGTAAGGAATTGCGCTCACATCGTCTTTTGCTTCTTCCATTGGCTTTGATTTTTCGCCTGTTATTTCCCACGAACACACCGCTAAAGTACCTCCATGGGCCACAAACAACACATTACCAATTGCATGTGCATTCACTGCCTCTGTACTAACCACCAAACATCTAGAACAGTACTCGGCAAAGGTTTCTTTTCTGCTGCCTAATTCGTCTATGGTTATAATAGGTTTGTACTCCAGGTCGATATTAAAACCCTCCTCTGCCAGCTCTTTCGGCGTTAACCAATCTGGCAAACGGTCACCAAACACCACCCACCATTCATAGAGTCCTGGTTCCACCCTGATTTTAATTTCGCTCTTTTTGCTACACCCTTTGAGAAAAGCATCACACGTTTGAATGCAACGTAGTGATGGTGAGCAATAAACGTGAGAAACGTCGAGTTGCGCTTTTTTGAACGCTTCTCCGGTTAGTTGTGCTTGAAAAATGCCGGTTTTTGTTAAAGGGGGGTCGTGGAGGTAAACATGATGTCCTTGGGGACGTTTAGGTATAGTGTCAGGCATGTTTAGATTTGTCGGGAAATAATCGCCGTATTTGTTGAAACATTGGGACATCCAGTCACCGAAAACGTAGTCTAAGCGTTCACCATGACGCATTAAATAGAACTTGCGTGTTTCTCGACCCTAAAAATTGTGGTGAAAATCTAAGATTTTTTAAATGTTGGTTAACTTACTTCCATCTTGTGATGTTCCAAACGTGGTAATGTGAATGCACTTTTTCGTTTGTAGAAACATAGATTAAAGTTAAAAATACAAGGTTACAAAGCGTGCAAATAAACAAAAATAAAAATTCTTATCACTTTGTATTTAATGAACTATTTAAACTAATGATATATTGTGTGGTAGAAATTGCGACACACGTGTTGATAATAATCGTACTAGACAATATGAAGACCCCCGTGTTATAATAAAACTACATCACCATTTTCGGTTTTGGTTTTGGAGTTGGATGTCCTGTAATTGCGATAGTGAAATCTTAATTATTAAAACAGTCGACTGTAATCAAAAACTGCGTTAGATGTGTGGCTGAGACGCAGAAATGGTCGCCCTTTCTTCCACTTATCACCACACTGACAAACTTCTATAAAACCGCAATAAGGAACTCCCACTGCAACATCTAGTGTTTCCTGTGTTACTTCAGTTTTTTTTCCTGTTAGCTCCCACGAACACACTGCTACAGTACATCCATGTGCCACAAATAACACATTACCGTGCGAATGTGCATTCATTGCCTCTGTACTAACCACTAAACTTCTAGAACAATACTCAGCATGGGTTTCCTTTTTACCACCTAATGCATCTATAGATATAATAGGTTGGTATTCTAAGTCGATATTATAACCGCAGGTTGTCAGTTCTTCTGGCGTTAACGATTCAGGTAAACTGTCGCCAAAAAACGCCCACCATTCATAAAGTCCTGGTTCCACTTTAATTTTAATGTCGTTTTTGCCACAACCTTCCAGAAACGCGACAAGTTTGAATACAGCGTAGTGATGGTGAACAATACACGTGAGAGACGTTGATTTGAGCTTTTTTGAAAGCTTCACTAGTGAGCTGAGCTTGAAAAATGCCGATTTTTGTTAAAGGGGAGTCCTTCAAGTAAGTATTATATCCTCCAGAACGTTTAGGTACAGTTTCGGGCATATTTAGATCCATTTGAAAATAATTGCCGTTTTTATCGAAACAGTGGGATGTCCAGTCACCAAAAGCGTTATCTGCGCGTTCACCATGACGCATTATATAAAGCTTGCGTGTTTCTTGACCCTAGAAAAATTATTGTGGTAATAAGTGCGGATAGAATAATTCCAAAATTTGTCAAGTAAACCCATTTTCTATTTTTTTTAACGTTGGTTAACTTACTTCCATCTTGTAATATCGCTTTGGACGTTCCAAATTGAATGACCTTTTTCATAAGTACTACAAGCTTTTAATGTTAAAAGTGCAAGGTTATAAATCGTTAAAATATGTAGATATAGATAACACTTTTATTATGTCGATATTTCGTATTTAATGAACTACCTTGTGATAACTCAAACTTCCCGCCTTTAAATTGACCTTGAAAATGTTTGAAAGGCCCGCGAAAAATGTAAAAATTCAAAGTTTGGCCTTGGCTGTGATCGTCTAAGAAATAGGAACCTACGTTGTGTGTGTTTTTTTTTTTGTTTTTGAAAAATGGCAGGAAGACGTTTCATACAAGTGAGCATATACTGCATGTGAGTTGAGAGCGGAAGAAATAATAGACAAAAATTAGGGAGGGACCGAAATGGCATCCTTCCTTAGGAGGAAAAGAAACGAAGAGCGAAAGTGATTCCGCGTGCTCTTTGGGTGGTTCCGCAGGGCCAAGGCGTCATCGGTCTTCATTCCCCAAAACCCTCTAGGGTTTTATTCACCGAAATATTACATTTCAAACACCTTGAGATATATGAAAGAAAACACTCGCGAATTGACATACACATATGAAAAACGAACAAACGGAAAATTCTATACATCTGTTTGGAATCAGTGCAGATATTTGAATATCACAAATTTAATAAAAACAAAGAAAAGTCTGAATTAAGTAACTGGATGCAAATACACAAGTTATTACTGGCGTGTGGCGGCTGATTTTTAAAGTTACGGCAGTTAACAGGAGCACAACAAAAGTACCCTTGGGGCATTGTAGTACAAGCGGAGTTTGGGGATACCGGTCTGGAGCTGTTCTCCCCTCACTCTATCTATCACAAAGCCTACCGCACACGCATATCTCCATTACGAACGTGCCCTGCGGAACTAGGCCATTACGGTCGCCAGACCCGCAAGTTGATCTCGACTATTGGTCCAAGTCGAGAGCACTACAAACCGGCGGCCGCCCCTGAATCTATCCAAACCTGTGAGCTTGTACAGGTGACACGATAAATCTCGCCAGCTCGAACTTCGCTTCTGCCACGTTTTCTGTGTCATTTAACCTCAATTCCATTTTTAAATATTCAATCTCTTATAACTTTGATATTAACAACAACTGAAAAAGTGTTAAAGTTTCAACGAGCAATAAACAACATTTAAATTCGCCGTATAATCTTGTGAAATTTTGAACAACAAATAATTTATATGATAGAAACATTCATGAACAAAATACATATTTACAAAACAAAACTTAGCAAGGATTTATGAAACAAGAGATCTGGTGTGAAATGAACTTGTACAAATAGAAATATTATGTAAAGTTAAAACAGTAGAACATGAAATTTACGTTCAATTAAAATTATACAACAAATAATAATTACTGAAGTTAAAACTGTGAGATTGAGAAATATTGTATGAGGTGAAAATTTGCCAAGGTAACCAAATTTACGTGAGATTAATAATTGCCACACATTATCAACGATTCAAACAAAAAGTTTACATTATGTCAAATTATATCATGATCTAAGTGATTGGTTACTTCACAAAAAACAATTTACTTTGAGAGTTTAAAATACCAATTTTAATACTAATTTCATTTCAGTTCAGTAAAGATCCATTTCACTCAGATTGGATAAAATCAATCACTGAAAAGGACACAGGGTGGGTGGGCGGGGCTAATTATGTTTTTCTCTCGAGTGGGAATGGGAATGAAAATTAATAATTACGAGCATCTAGGATGTGACAAAAGTAAGCCGAAAATCACTTCTGAATATTGAAATCTAGAAGAAAATGTATTCAACTAATTTTTGAAAATAGTTGAAAAATGGTCGAAAATGTTAAAAGCGCCAAAATCAGTCTTATCTTACCAAATACTAGCCCCGCCCACCCACCCTCTATTTTCTTGTAGGATATGTCATTTGCCAGAAGCTGTCTTATCTTAGCAAATATTAGCCCCACCCGCCTACCCCTTCTTCTCATTCTAACGACTAATTTTATTTCTGTTCAGTATAAGGTCATTCCACTCAGTCAGAGCGGATAAAACCAATCACCGAAAAGGAGGCCGGGTGGGTGGGCGGGGCTAATTATGTTCTTCTGTCGAGCGAGAGCGGAAACTAATAGAATTTAGGATGTGAAAAAAGTAAAAAAGCGCTAATCGTAATCTTTTTTTAGTCGAATAGGTCAAAAATATCATAATCAGTCTTATCTTATCAAATACTAGCCCCGCCCACCCATTCTCTATTTTCTTGTAGGATATGTCATTTGCCAAAATCTGTCTTATCTTGGCAAATATTAGCCCCTCCCAACCACCCCCTCTTCTCATCCTAACGACTAATTTTATTTCTGTTAAGTAGAAGATCATTCCACCCACTCAGAGCGGATAAAACCAATCACCGAAATGGAGGCCGGGTGGGTGGGCGGGGCTAATTATCTTTTTCTGTCGAGTGAGAGTGGAAACTAATAGAATCTAGGACGTGAAAAAAGTAAAAAAAATGCTAATTGTAACTTTTTTTCTCGAGTATGTCAAAAGTGCCAAAATCAGTTTTATGTCATCAAATATTAGCCCCGCCCACCCACCCTCTGTTTTTTTGGAAGATATGTGATTTGCCAAAATCAACCTTATCTTAGTAAGTACTAGCCCCCCACTCCTCTTCTAATTCTAAGGACTAATTTTACTTCTGTTAAATATAAAAACTTTATTTGATTCAAATCGGATGAAATCATTCAGTGAAAAAGAGGCAGGGTGGGTGGGCGGGGCTAGTTATGTTCTTCTGTCGAGTGAGACTGGAAACTAATAATAGAATCTAGAATAGTGTAATGAAAAAAGTAAAAAAAAGTGCTAATCGTGTTTTTTTTTTGTTATACTATTTGTTATAAAATTTTATTTCTTTATGCATCTGACCTGACTTGACCTACCGTGACCTGACCTCTTCTAGTTCCAAAAATACACGAAAATGTCAAAAGTGCCAAAATCAGTTTTGTCTTATCAAACATTATTTTTAAGAAGGTGAAACCTTCCCGGGATCTCCAATTGACTTTTTTAAAGATGTGAAACATTCTCGGAGACGCCAACTGTTTTTTTTATGATGTGAACCTTCTTGGGAGTCCCAACGGTATTTATTTTTAAGAACATGACACCTTCTTGGGGCCTCAGCTGTATTTTTTTTTTTTAAGAAAGTGAAACCTAGTTTTTTTTGTCTTCTCATACTGTGACTAGTAATTTCAGTTTCTGCATTGTTTTTACTCCGTAGATCATAGAGGTGTACAGGAAAAGGTAAAATTTCGCAAAATCAACTTTTATAATTTTTAAAGAAGCAGGATTCGTTGGACTGTACTTCAAGAGCAAGGGAAGTTCTGTTGAAATAGCTTTCGACCAATTTTTTTTTCATTTAAGTGCATTTTTAACCACTTTGTTTACTCCAAATTTACCAGTAATCACAAGTTTTTTATTAATTTTTAAAATCTCTGAATTTGAACTGTAAATTTTCCTTTGAAACAATAAATTTCGTCTTTCTGATGCAATAAATCGTGGTTACTCTTTCCTAAACACTCGATTTGCGCCAATAATTATTATTTTTCCGTGGACACCAACTCTTGAATCTTGATTTTGTTACACAATTTTGAATTTTTTCCGAAAAATCTGCATGTTTAACACATAATTTCCAAAAAAATTACGACTGCGTCACAAACCAGGGTTGACCTTGACGCCACAAGTGTTTTTGTCCCACCCCCAAGCCCATTTCATTAAAGTACAACAACAAAAATATCCAATCATCGCTCCGAGGGAAAAAGCGTCTCGGTGATGTAAATTTTAAAATCGTTGCGAGGAAAAAGCGTGTCGGTGATGTTATTAATCTCTAGCGTCGCGAGAACGGACCTCTATCAATCTGTAGCTTTGTGAGGGCATGCCTCGATTAATTAATCAATCTGTAGCGTTGTGATGGCATGCCTCGATGAATTAATCTCTACACAAAATCTGGTTACTATTTACTGTTATGTATGCCACAATTAAATTCAATCATAAGGTGTCAACGCATTGCAACCAAAATAGATTTTCAAAATTCCTATTAGTTTCTTGTCAATGCGACCAACATAACGACATTTTGACAATTCACAACCTTAGTGAATGAACAATACATATAAATTAATTAGACACATAACTAAATGAGACAACGAGCGACAAGCCGTGAAGCCGTTTTTAAACTTTAATACCTGGATCAATATATATATATAAAATAAAATATATATATTACTCTTTCAGTGTGTGTTCCATCTGTCCTATCAGAACACTTTACAAAAACCAGAACATTTACTGGTTTTGACATCGAAAAATTTTACCCAGAACTGAAGTTCGAAAAAACAGTACTGTTCTGGAAAAACAGTACGGTTGGTCACCTTATTTTTGCCACAACCTTTGAGAAAACGTCGTGTTGCGCTTTTTTGAACGCTTCTCCGGTTAGTTGTGCTTGAAAAATGCCGGTTTTTGTTAAAGGGGGGTCGTGGACGTAAACATGATGTCCTTGAGGACGTTTAGGTACAGTTTCAGGCATGTTTAGATTTGTCGGGAAATAATCGCCGTATCTGTCGAAACATTGGGACATCCAGTCACCGAAAACGTATCTGAGCGTTCACCATGACGCATTAAATAGGACTTGTGTGTTTCTCGACCCTAAAAATTGTGGTTAAAATTATTTAAATTTAAGATTTTTTAAATGTTGGTTAATTTACTTCCATCTTGTGATGTTCCAAACGTGGTAATGTTAATACACTTTTTCGTATGTAGAAATAGCGCATGGATTAAAGTTAAAAATACAAGGTTACAAAGCGTGCAAATAAACAAAAATAAAAGTTCTTATCACTTCGTATTTAATGAACTATTTAAACTAATGATATATTGTGCGGTAGAAATTGCGACACACGTGTTGATAATAATCGTACTAGACAATATGAAGACCCCCTAGTTATAATAAAACGACACAATTTTCGGTTTTGCTTTTGGAGTTGGATGTTCTGCAATTCCGGCGGTGAAATCTTAATTATTAAAACAGTCGACTGTAATCAAAAACTGCGTTAGATGTGTGGCTGAGCTGCAGAAAAGGTCGCTCATTCTTCCACTTATCTCCACACTGACTAAGTTCTATAAAACCGCAATAAGGAATTGCCACTATAACATCTATTGCATCCTGTGTTAACTTAATTTTTTTTCCTCTTAGTTCCCACGAACACACGGCTACAGTAGATCCGTGTGCCACTAACAACACATTTCCGTGTGAATGTGCCTTCATTGCCTGTGTACTGACGACCAAATTTCTAGAACAATACTCAGCACAGGTTTCCTTTTTACTACCTAATGTATCTACAGATATAATAGGTTGGTATTCTAAGTCGATATTATAACCCCAGGTTGTTAGTTCTTTTGGAGTTAACCATTCAGCTAAACTGTCACCAAAAAAAGCCCACCATTCATAAAGTCCTGGTTCCACTTTAATTTTAATGTCGTTTTTGCCACAGCCTTCCAGAAACGCGTGACTCGTTTGAATACAGCGTAGTGATGGTGAACTATACACGTGCGAAATGTTGATTTGCGCTTTTTTGAAAGCTTCACCTGTGAGCTGAGCTTGAAAAATGCCGATTTTTGTTAAGGGGGAGTCCTTCAAGTAAGCATTATGTACTCCAGAACGCTTAGGTACAATTTCGGGCATGTTTAGATCCGTTTGAAAATAATTGCCGTTTTTATCGAAACATTGGGTTGTCCAGTCACCAAAAGCGTGATCTGCGCGTTCACCATGACGCATTATATAAAGCTTGCGTGTTTTTTGACCCTAGAAAAATTATTGTAATAATAATGACAACTTTAGGGCGAATATAATATTCAAAATTTGTTAGTTGTGTTGGTTAACTTACTTCCATCTTGTAATACTCTCTTGGACGTGTTAAATTGATTGGTCTTTTTCGTAAGTACAACAAGCTTTTAATGTTACAAGTGCAAGGTTACAAAGCATTAAAATACATATAAATGACGGTTTTATTATTTCGACATTTCGTATTTAATGAACTACCTACTTAAATAAATAATAGGCAGATATATAAGGTGTCCCAATAACCAACCTAATTATTATTATGACAGGCGATTATAATCGAAAGTTGCATTAGCTGTGTGGCTGAGCTGCAAAAAAGGTCGCCCATTCTTCTCCCACTTATCTCCAATCTGACGAACTTCTATAAAACCGCAATACGGAATTGCTAATACGTCTCTTGTTGTATCGTCTGGTATTCGTGGTTTTTCTCCTGTTAGTTTCCACGTACACACCTCTAAAGTGGCTGCGTGTGCCACAAACAACACATTATCATTACCATGTGCTTTCAGTGCCTCTGTACTAACCCTAAAACTTCTAGAATAGTACTCGGTAGCGCTTTCTTTCTTGCTGCCTAATTCCTCTACAGATATAATAGGTTTGTACTCCAAGTCCACATTATAACCCCACACTGCTAGATCTTCTGGTGTTAACCAATCAGGCAAACGCTCACCAAACAACGCCCACCATTCATAGAGTCCAGGTTCAACTTTAATTTTAATTTCGTTGTTTTTGCCCCAACTTTTGAGGAACGCATCACACGTTTGAATGCAGCGTAAAGAGGGTGAAGAGTAGACGTGAGATACGTCGAGTTGCGCTTTTTTGAACGCTTCTCCAGTGAGTTGTGCTTGAAAAATGCCGATTTTTGTTAAGGGGGTGTCTTCCGCATAAGCAGAATAGCCTTGCGATCGCTTGGGTAAGTTGTCGGGCATATTTAGATCTGACTGACAATAATTGCCGTTTTTGTCGAAACTTTGAGACATCCAGTCGCTAAAAGCGAGGTCCACGCGTTCACCGTGACGCATTATATAGAGTTTGCGTGGTTCTTGATCCTAGAAAAAATTATTATGGTATTAATAGTAATAATTTCAAAACTTAGCCAGTGTACTGAAGAGTTTTTAAAGCTTTAATTTATTGATTAACTTACGTCCATTTTATATCGTTTTAGAAGTGTCAATGTATTTTTTCGTAACTGCTGCACATACTTAGATTAAAGTGACAAATAGATGATTACAAAGCGTTAAAACAGAAAAAATGACGTTATAATCATTAGGTACTCAAGCTAATATCTATTGCGGTAGAAATTGTGGTATCTGTGCTGATAATAATCATGTGTCATAGTGAAATCCTAATTATTACAACAACAACAGCTACATAACAGAGTTTGGGTGTTTTTCGAACCTAGAAACGACATGCCGTGTAGTATTATATTATAAATACACCCAAAAATACATATAGTGTGTCGTATAAAGTTCTCCTCACTTTTTTCTGTAAACGCCACTGTTTTTAGTTACATTCAACTCGTATATTGTTTTAAATGATTTTATTTAACTCCGTCCTTGACCAAGAGCGTAGATATTTTTATTGTCTAGGGGGGGTAGGGTAAGGATTTTTCTCAACATATTGTTTATAAATATTGTTATTAAAAATAACTTACAAAATTATACATACAATAAAACAAAATTTTTCGAATATTAATTAATGCAATATAATAATAAAGTTTAAAAAATATAAATATGTGATATAATATATTACATAATGTAGGTATAAATAGTTATTTAAACATTAAGGGAGGTAGGTAATATTTACCAGACGAGAACGTGATTGCGCCCGAGGGGGTACCCCGAGGGCAAGCAATGGATGCACTCAACATGTAGTTTGCCTAAAAGTTATAACTGCTAATAAAATTTAACTTATAAATGTAAATAATGTTTAACAAACGTATAAAAAGTTTATAAAAATTAAAGGGGATTTTAAACTATTGTTAAATTTCTTTTTAATTATTGATATGGCTCTAACTAATTTAACTTAAGGTTCCTGTTTTTAATTTTTGCAAATCTGTCTAATACCGAATCAATATTTAATTTTCTGTCCTGATGTATGTGCAGTAGCGCTAAACCTACTAGTCTTTCTTGACTCATAGTAGATCGAAGCCAAGTCTTAAGTCGTTTTAAACTAGAAAAACTTCTTTCTGAAGATGCCACACTAACTGCCCTGTTAAAAATGCCCAATCAAATCCAATCAAAATTATTTTGGGATCGCCCAATATAAATTAGATTGGGTACGCCCAATCAAATCCAATCTGCGAGTAGTCCGCATGCCAATGGCACAAAGAAGGTAAAAAAAGGCCACCACAATGGTCACGTGGTACGCAAGCAAACATATTATCACTATTATAGCGAACAATAAAACTTTTTTAAAAAACAACTCTTTTACGCGGGTTTAAGTGTTAATATTATCCGAGAGAAGTATATTTTTGGGAAAAAATTCTGTGTTCGACACGATAACGTTTACAGCGATAAGCATACCAAAAAAAATGCATAAATATTGTCTGCGTATTAGCAACCCCCATAAGGGGGTCGACGGAGAACGTCACCACCCACTTCGATGAGAAGTCGTAAAGAAACACATTTCGCAACCCTTTTGCATCCTACGGCAACGATACGGACCGTAGGTGCCTCAATATTACGTTTAAACGACGGTCACAGTGTCGCCCAATCTGGCCCAATCAAATCCAATCCCAAATTGGGGGCGCCCAATCAAATCCAATCTGCGAATAATTCGCACGCCAATCGCACAAAGAAGGTAAAAAATGACCACCACAATGGTCACGTGGTACGCAAGCAAACATATTATCACCATTATAGCGAACAATAAAACTTTTTTAAAAAACAACCCTTTTACGCGGGTTTAAGTGTTAATACTGTCCGACCAGAGTATATTTTTGGGAAAAAATTCTGTGTTCGACACGATAACGTTTACAGCGATAAGCATACCAAAAAAAATGCATAAATATTGTCTGCGTATTAGCAACCCCCATAAGGGGGTCGACGGGGAACGTAACCACCCACTTCGATGAGAAGTCGTAAAGAAACACATTACGCAACCATTTTGCATCCTACGGCAACGATACGGACCGTGGGTGCCTCAATATTACGTTTAAACGACGGTCACAGTGTCGCCCAATCTGGCCCAATCAAATCCAATCCCAAATTGGGGGCGCCCAATCAAAGAAGTTACAATAATATTGCTCCTCTTGCTGACATCTTTTTACAGAATATCAAACATTTCACTTATCTGTGTAAAAATGCAGTTCTTACGCCACTGTAGTTGACATTCCTGCATGTTGAGTTATATAATTTTTTAGTGATTAGTGTTTAGTTATATAATTGTTTTGTATTGATTTCTTTCTTTTTTACTTCCCGAGCGTAAGCAAAGGAAGTATTGTAATCGAGTCCGTCGGCCGACTCTCTACTTTTACGTTTTCTCGATCTTTCATGACCCCTAGAAGACGAAGAAATAGGTCTCCCATTTCCGTCTGTCTGTCCGTCTGTCCGTCTGTCCGTCCGTCCGTCTGTCCGTCTGTCCGTCTGTCCGTCTGTCCGTCTGTTGTCACGGATTTTTATTAGACAGATAATCTCCGAAAGTACTCGACCGATTGTTGTGAAATTTTGTACTTATATTAAGAATATCATGTAGATGGTAAAACGCTAACCAAAATTTGTCGAATCATCCCCACCACTAAAGCGATGACGTCACTTCAAAATTGTACATAGTAAATGGGTTTTCAATTGTATAAAATAACATAGTCCTACACATGTAGTTTACAACTCTGAATCGACTTTTCACCCGAAACGTCCAGATTTTTGGAAAAAAAATCAAAATTATAAAACAACATTTTGAAATTTAATTTTTAATCTGCTAACCAGAATGCTTTGAAATGTTGCAGATGTTTTAAGGCTATAAAGAGCATCATAAATCTTTAGTCAAAAAATATTTGCTTATCCCCTCCAAAAACTTGATGACGTCAGCTCAAAAGTTTGTGGAATAAATCATATCTAAAATGTACAAAATATAATGAGTCTGTACTTGTGAACTATCACTCCATTAATATTTTTTGGATTTGCATATACAGGGTGACTCAAAAAAATTAATGAATGCGTAAATATATTTTATTGATTTAATCAGGAACTACAAAACCGAATGCTCTGAAATCTTGCAGATGTTTTAAGGTCATAAAGAGCATAATAAATGTTTAGTCAAAATATATTTGCTTATCCCCTCCAAAAACTTGATGACGTCAGCTCGAAAGTTTGCCGAATAAATCATATCTAAAATGTACAAAATATGATGAGCCTGTACTTGTCATTTATCACTCCATTCATATTTTTTGGATTTGCATATACAGAGTGACTCAAAAAAATTAATGAATGCGTAAATTTATTTTATTGATTTAATCAGGAACTACAAAACCGAATGCTTTGAAATCTTGCAGATGTTTTAAGGTTATAAAGAGCATAATAAATTTTTAGTCAAAATATATTTGGTTATCTTCTACAAAAAACTGATGACGTCAGCTCAAAAGTTTTCCGAATAAATCGCATCTAAAATGTACAAAATATGATGAGTCTGTACTTGTGATTTATCATTCCATTCATATTTTTGGATTTGCATATGCAGGGTGACTGAAAAAAATTAATGAAGGCGTGAATTTATTTTATCGATTTAATCAGGAATTACAAAACCGAATGCTTTGAAATCTTGGGAATATTTTAAAGTTATTATAAGCATGGTAAACTTTTGTTCAAAATGTATTTGTTCATCCCTCCTAAAAAAATTGATGACGTCACCCTTAAATTTTGCTGAATAAATCCTATCTAAAATGCAAAAAATATGATGAGTTTGTACTTGTGATTTATCATTCCATTCATATTTTTTAGATTTTCTTAAGAGGTGGTTCAAAAAAATTAATGAAGTCAATTTATTTTATTGATTAAATTAAAGGCAACACTTATTATTAGTATTACACCCCAACCAACCCAATTTGGTAGACACAAAATTTGTTAAAGGAAAAACTCGGTTGAAACATAAGGGTAGCACGCTTATTTACATCGACTTTAACGTTACAGATCTGCATTTGTTTTATGCGGTCACTTGGTTCCGCGAATGCGAAATAGACATGTTTATAATCAACCAATTGTGAATTTCACCGTCAAGAATTAAAATAAAACCCAATGTTTTATATAATAAGCGGAAGTCGAAGCAATAAAACCGACGGTCGTTTTGTTTACAGTTTCTGTGTTTGGCTCTCACGTATGCTGTTACGCCTGTCATCTTAAATTAACAATGTTTATACATACACGATTTTTAGTTGCCTCTGATACGTAGGTATACGTGAGTAAATTGTTTCGTTATTTTATTGATTATTACAAATCAATATTCAAACGACCCAATTCATTTTCCCGAAAATTTGAGAATATAATAATTTTATTCTTAGTATTACACTACATCTATCCCAACTGATATACGTGTCCTTGCAAAAATGTTGATGACGTCATCGCAATTTTTTTTTAAATTCCCACTACAAAAATGTAATGAGAAAAAAACACAATAGGCATGCAGTCGTCAAGTTTCCGACAGCGAGGGAAGTACTGTCTAAACTCTTTAGACCAATTTTTTGTTATATGTATTTGTGTATACTTATCCGGAGTTATGTACAAGTATCCACATAGATCTTTGTCTGTTGGATAATAAATTACGATTATTATTATTATTATTATTAAGTGAGTCAGTACGTTCTGCGTCAACCCTCATACAGGGGTTGCTAATTTATACAAAATATCTAACTTCTCATGTTTATAGTTATACATTTTATTGTGTCGAACACAGAATTTTTTTCCAATAGTATACTCCGGTGGTGCAGTATTAACCCTTAAAACCCCGTAACAGGGTTGTTTTCTAAAAAAGTTTTATTATTCGTTAAAATGGTGATAATATGCTTGCTTGCGTACCAGATTACCACCCTGGTGGTTATTCTGTACCTTCTGTGTGA